TTCTTTTAACAAATATTGATATTTTTTTAAGCTGAGGTTGATGAGTGAAGTCCTAATGGAAACACCATCTCACTTTGTAAGGATGATCGTATTTACCCATCTCCTTCACCCGTGCAAGGAGGGACCAGACACACCCACTGTGCCATTGTGGGCAGAATTCTATCATGGCCCCATGATCTCTGTCCCTGGTCTTACACACATAATTAGGTTACATCTTCGATTAGGTTACATTATATGGCAAGAGTGAAGGGATTTTGCAGATGTAATTAAAATCCCAAATTAACTGAAAAGTTCATCTAAAAGGAGATTATCCCAGGTGAACCCAACTTAATCAGTTGGAAGCCCTTTAAAAGAGGATTTCAGAATTCACAGAGGTCAGAAACAGATTCTCTTGTTGACTTCGAAGAAATAAGTTGCCATAATAAATTCTACAGCTACAAGGAAATTAATTCTCCCAACAATTATGTGAGCTTCGAAGAGGAATCTGAAACTCAGATGCACCCCGAGACCTGGCCAATGTCTTGACTGCAGCTTTGTGATATCCTAAGCAGAGGATGCAGCTAAGCTGAGTCTGGACTCTTGACCCATGGAAACTGTGAGATAATAAGTGTATGTTGTTTTAAGCTCCCAAATTTGGTAATTTGTTATGAAGCGATAGAAAACTAATATACCTATAGAATGGTAAGGAAAATCACATGGACTCGATACTGACCTCCTACAACAGGCAGTGTGGATGACGGTTAAAGGCACAGAGCCTCACGCCAGGCTGTGTGGGTTCATATCCCACCACCACCACCTACTCACTCTGTAACTTGGGCGCGCTCCCTCATGCTCCCATGCCTCAATGTCCTCACTCTGAGGTGAGGATAAGCAGAGGGCTTAACTCTAGGATTACTCTGAGGATTAAAGGACTCAATTTATGCAAAGTCCCTAGGCACCTGGGCATGCAGTAAGCACACTATAACGCATTAGCTATCCTTACACGAAGCTTCTCTACTAATTATCAATGGCTCTAGATAGAGTAAAGGCTCTCCTCATATAGCCTCTTAACAGATTAGTGACATCCTATTATAAACACTCAAGGCCTTTGACAAAAAAATCAAACTTATCATTGCGTGGTTTCCATAATCAATTTCAATCAGAAAAAAAAAACCAAAGTAAAGAATAAAATAATGTAAGAAAACAGGATCTCCATTTTAAACTACAAAAATAGCTGGGGGAGGTGCCAGCCCCATAGCCTAGTGGTTAAGTTTGGTCCCCTTCACTTTGGCAGCAAGAGTTCGTGGGTTCGGCTCCTGGGCATGGACTTACATCACTCATCAGCCATGCTGTGGCCGTGTCCCATATACTAAATAGAGGAAGACTGGCACAGATGTTAACTCAGGGTGAATCTTCCTAAGCAAAAAAAAAAAAAAAAACAGCTGGAGGAGGCCTTACCACATCTGAAAATCTCCTAATGCTCCCCTTCCCTGAAGATTTGGAGAACACTCACAGTTCCAAAGTAATCACTAAGATGCATGAACAGCGGCTGAACTCTTGTGTTGTAATTGTGTGTTATTTCTGAGGAATGACACAATGCAAACATTCTATCTATAAAATAAAATTGACGGAAAATACTTCAGGGAAAGCTATTTAGCTGTGATAGGTAGGAAGATAGATGGATAGAAGGTAGGTAGATAGATCAATAGATGGATGGATAAATGGAAGGAAGGAAGCAAGGAAGGAAGGAAGGAAATAGTGACCTGGAATCCACATCTTGAATTCCCTGGGTCAAATGGGTTGAATTTTAAAGAAAGTATCAAAAAATAAGTGAAGCTTTTTCTGAATCAATAAAAATTGTTGGTCTATAAATTTTTTAAAATTCAGGCAAAACTAAAAATGAAGAAACTCTTTCCCTAAAATATCCAAGTAGAAGGATTTAGCTGGTTAAAGGAATAAGTCAGCTGTAGAATGAAGCATGTAACTGTCAAAGACCGGCTCCAGCACACTCCCCTGGGAGAAGGTTAAGAAATTACAGCTACTTAGGCTTCATCTCAGAGCTCTGACCTACGAGGTCTGGAGCACAGATCAGAAAACTGTATTTTTCTCTGTATTATTTAAGAAAAGGCAGCCTGTGGTAACAGATTCCAAAATGCCAGTAGATTAACACAATAGAAATTGATTTCTTGATCACAAAATGGTTCAGAGTGGGGTTGGTAGGGAGGCTCCTCCTCACGCAGTCAGTCGGGAACAAGACTGCTTCCATCTTGTGTCTCCCCGGGACCCCAGGGTTTCGTTGTTACCGCTTCCACCTGATGGAGGGGAAACGGCATGGAGGAGCACATGTGGGAAGTTGTAGTGGGCCAGACAAAGTAACATGCCTTTTCCCTTTTGCTTTCATTCTGTCAAGGAGGAATCGGTCTCATGGCCACCCCATCCGCGAGGAGGGAGGGAGGGAAACACAGTGTAGCTGTTGTGCCCTTCAGAAGCAGAAGTAGATTTCAGGGAACAAGAAGCAGTCCTTGCCATAAGCACACCGTGCGATCTCGGTGTACAACTGTGCATGTTGAAAATTTACAGGTGAAAATATAACTTTTGAGTGAAAATAATCTAGTTCCAAATTTAGCCACTTGACAGCTGTCTGATTTTAGGCAAAATATTTCCTCTCTCTGTGCCTCAATCTCCCCACTCCCTGATCTTTTAAATGAGTTTTAAAAATTCTACATCTTAAGATTCTTGTGAGACTGATGTGAGATAATATGTTTAAAATCATTAGAATAATAACCAGCACTTAGTTAACAGTCATAAGCACTTTAGTCTAACCGTACTGTTGGTTTGGAAAGAAAAGGAAATAAGATGTTCTGCTATTTGAGCTAAGAAATCGGAAGTGTCAATATCAGAATAAATATATTATTCCGACTGAGTTATTGGATTGAGAAGATTTTAGAAAGTAGAATCTTAACACAGTAGAAGTTGGTTTCTTGCTCGCTTAAGATTTCCTGGGCAAGTGTTCAAGGTAGCAGGCAGACCTCCTCCAGGCGGTCACTCAGAGGTCCAGTCGTGTTCCATCTGGGGGCTCCCCCAGAGCCGAGGGCTTTATCATCATCTCACCCAGTGTGCAGAGATACGCTGTGGAGGTAGGATGTGCTGTGGTCTGAGCTAGGAATGGGTGTCTCAGTATTAGAATATTTGAAGTTCTCAGAGAGAAAAATTACTCTAATTTAAAATAAATTGAGAGCAATCTTAAAATATGAAGGGGTTTACAACCCCTTAGTTAGTGGTGTAGTTCTCAAGCTGAGATATACAACAATCTGATTATCGTATTCATGGAATCTGATCTATCTTTAGATTTAACTTTTGCCAAATACAAATAGATGTGTACCACTCTACCTAAGGAACTCTGTGAACACTCGAGTCCAGAAGTGGACCTGAGCTGTGCAGTGCTTATCATTGGAAGCGAGTGACACCGTCAAGGATGAGCTGAATTCTGTACAGCTGAAAGGATTAATTTACACAGTGACGTGACGTCTGGATTAGTGTGAGGACGCAGTCTAATCAATGCAGTTTTCTATCAGAGGCAGAGTGGGGCCCTTGTTCAGTGTTTCTCAGAGCTGAGTTCTGTGCAGACTTCTTTTGCAATAGTTTCCACTAAGCTGTAAGAATATATCCACAGTTTTCTGTCTTCAGATTCCAATTTGAGGACTACATCCCTAGTCCCAATTACTAAAAAATAAAATAACTAAGAGCAAAATATGTCCTTGCATGCCTCGTCTTGTGGTTTCTCCACCATTTTCCGGCTTTCCTGATTTCCAACCCCATTTCCCCTCCCCCGTGGCACTCGCACGCACCTTTTGTGCTGTTAGCTGTTTTGTGCAGTTAGCATCTCAGAACCTGTCTCCTTCCATCCGACTTCCCTGATTCCATGCAAATTCATCTCTCAGGCCTCCTTCGAGTTTGAGGAACTCTCGCGGACCTGATAACCTGTGGGAGCTGTCCCCCGCGCCCCACGCTGTCCTGTGCTTCATTCACAACGTGGCAGTCCACGTTCTCACGTCAGTGGGCTCCCTGCGTCTGAGTTCTGGCCTTGGCTAGACCGCACACTAGGGAAGGACATTTGGGCTACCTTCCATGTGCCAGGCCTCATGGCGCCGTTTCATCTGTTACGCTGGTGTCCTTGGGAAATTACTTGAGCGTTTCAGCTTCCTTTTCCATCTCTGCAAAATGGGGATGGTAACAATTTCCTAGCCTCAACTAACAGCCACTGTTTATTTAGGTCCTTACTATGTGCCTGGTTTTCTGCCAAGTGTTGAAGGTGTTTTCTCATGTAATCCTCCTAACATCCCCGGGACGTAAGCCTTATTCACCTGCCCGTATTTTCAGATGTCAAAATTAAAGCTAAGGCAGGGAAAGCGGCTCGCTCAGCTGGGCCATAGTCCCTGCAGCTTTAGAGTTGCCAGGTGCTAGTGACTCAGCTGATGGACTTGCCTCCTAAATACAGTGACAACAGAAACTGTGATGACAGAGCACATTTGGAACAGACACCACAGTCTCGTCGTGTGCTGCATTTAGCCACGCGTCTCTGGTGGTTCTTTGCTGCACCAGCCTGCTTTACCAAAAGTCAAGTAACACAAACTCACATTTGACCTAGTTTAATCAAAATGTGGCTTGTGGTTTGAATATTCAACAATTGATTACTGGGAATTTAAAGTTTTTAACCACCACCATAAACACAGTCTTTCTCTTGTGGTCTCTCTCAGAAACTAACATTGCTGTTTCTCACTGCCAGGTAAACACTGGCCTCCTCTCCAACAACTGCAAACGCACAGGGAGCTACGTCCCCACAGACACCATATTTCAAATGGGGATTTTGAGAGGGATCACAGAATAGATCTTGAGATGACACCGTGGTTAATTCCAGCCCTAAAAGTCATCCTTAGTTTCTTGTCTGCATCTGACTGTTGGAGGCCTTGGAGTCTCGATTTTGCTCAATAATAGTCTATATTGTTTACTTCCCATTTAAGGGGTGGCCAAGCTCAAGTGGAGAGAAAAGCAGACTGAACCCAGGAGTGCTGGTACCAAGAGGACAGTCAGATCCCAGCAAGTGACACCTATTGGCTGTTGCTCCCTGCTCCTGGTACTATGTAGCCGAAGCGAGAAGATAAGAGGTGGCCCAATCTTCTGGGAGCCAAGACCACACCTGCCCTGCCGGCCATTCCCCTGCCCAGCCTTACAGTGGAGAGGCATGTCAAATAGAGAGATCCCAGTGAAGAGGGGGATGCTGCCTTCCTGCTCCTGCCTGGCTTCACGGGCTCCTTCAGCTGCTCTGTTTTGAGTTTGGAAAGGCTTGGCGTCCCTCGGTGTGGGGGTGTTCACTTCTTCAGAATGAGGGCCAGCCTCCACTCTCGGTACTGCAGCGTGGAAACTGGCACATCCTACTCTGACATTTCTCTCCTGCCTCCTTAGCCCCGGTTGCTAGATTGTGGTTTCCAGGTTGTTTTGCTTTTTCTCTCTTTCTAATTGGTTATGCTCTTCATGCCAAGTATCTTCAGTCATATTAACTACAGATCCAATATATTTTAAGTAACAGGCAAATCTGGCATCGGCCTCCCATGAGGACTGGGCAGCCGGGTTTGCGAATGCTCCACCTTCCTGCTTCGCCTCATGCAAGGCCTCTTACCGACACTCCTGGGGGGTGGATTTCCATGCAATTTCTCCACCTCAATGGCTCCAGTTCCCTGATCTCAGAGGTTCAATCCACTGCCTCCTGCTTACTCCTGAGGGAAAGTCTGCCTTCCCAGACTCATCTTTTCTGACCCTTGTAGAAACGAACAGTAGGGATCCCAGGAGCGCCTGACATATCAGGCTTTGAAGCTTCGACTCTGGCCATGTCCCCCTGGCAATTACCTCTACCTGCGGCCCTGAGCACTTTGTCTGCCCATTGAAGATGCGAGAGAAATTGACATTTTGGAAATGTTAGATGCTCCACGTCAATGTTAATAAAAAAACAAAACAAATGCTTTTTTGTGTCTGTGTCCATCTTTTCAATCAAATACGATCGCTTGATTCATTTAGCAGATATTTACCACCTGCCTGATTTGGATGTATCACCACCGTAAGAGAATAAAAAGAATGCAGAGCAACAGAGGCCATGGCCCTTGACGTGTTTTAACCCTTCCCAACTTGTTACTATTTGTATTCCGGTTTTACAAAGGAGGAGCCTGAGGCCAGGAGAGGCAAAGGCTTTTGCCCAAAGTCACGCAGGATTGCCTGGCTTTGGAGTCCATACCATAAGCACCATGCCAGGGTGTCTCCAGAATCTTCCAGAGTTAGCACACTCTTGAGTCCAGGGCAGGGCATTGATCTTGAACCCTTGCCTTTTGTTCTGCTCTAGTGAATTATAGAAAATGACCCAGAAGGAAACCTGCTGGGCCTCTAGCTCTCCCTTAAAGTCCTGAGCCAAGAACTAACAACCAGCAACAAGCCCCCCTTCCTCTTGTCAGTACCACACCCTTAGCCTCCGGTGTCAGGGCTGCCTGCTCCACCCTGGGCCTGGCACCAACCAGCACCAGCCCTAGATCTGGCCCAAACTGGCTCCTCAAAGGATCTTTTGGGTGGAGGCTTTCTCCACCCAAAGCCTCAGGAGACTTCACCCCCTTCTGGCATCTGCTACTTACAACCCTCAGTTCTCTGACAGCATCCGCCTCTACCACTCTCTTCCTAGCATGGAGGAGGATCGAGCAGAGGAAGAGAAAAAAGAGCGAGGTGGGAGCCTGGTCTTCCTGGCCTGCTACCAACAACAGGCTCCAGTGCAGAGAGGATTTTGGTCCTGATGTCCATTGTAAGGCATTGATGGTTATTTCTTCACCTATCCAGGCAGGATGGGGGGCGGGGGCCGGTTGGAATTAGGGAGAGTGAAAGATCAATAGTAATCCTCTGAGAACAGCTTGAAATGTTAAATCATTTAAGAGTAGAATCTACATTTTTAAAAGAAAAATAAATACAAGAAAAATAACACACAATGAGTGAGAAGGATTTTAAATTTCTGGGATGGAAGGGTTCCCGGTGGTTTCCAGATACAGGATCTGCTCATAGGAGTGGGTTGCTGCGGTGTAGAGATGGGAGCCGTCAGAAACCACAGGGCCGGGCGACTTATGCACATGGATACTGAAATGTCCAGGACAATGGGCAGAGCTGGGATGGAAGGTCCCTCATGAGAGACGTCAAGGTCCTCTGCATTCAGAGGAGTCACCTTGAGTTTGGTACACGACAGCTACCGGATGGGGAGATGAAACGAGTACATGCAGATGTGCCAGCCTCAGCGGGGAGGTTACTATTAAGAGGGTGGAAGAGACGATATTCATTCAAGGGAATGCTGCCTCTGCTTCGTCTCCTGAAGTGGAGGGGAGGACAGGAATGAGAAGAGCGTACACAATCAGCATTCTCCTCCTGAAAGCGTTTCAAGGGAAGTCATGTCAGAGCCATGGACCTAACCCGCGTCAGCGGTTTGAAGAGGTAGAGAGTCTGGCTCCCTGCGTTGGTTTAACTTCTACAAACGCAATTAAATTCAACAAGCATATGTTTATACACCACTCACAATATCTGTTATCATCACTTCACATGCACAACATAGTTCCAGCCTGCGGGTCGTTTAACTACGGAAGGACAACACTGATGGTGCATAGCACAGGGTGGGAAGTCTTTGCCATCAAGTGCAAAAGCAAAAAGCACACATTATATAAAAGCAACGAGAGCTTTCCTCTTTCCATGATATATACTTATCTTGGTTTTGATTAGATCTCCCTTAGGGAGAAAGAAGAAACGTGAAGAGCAAAAGAAGGAGATGAAATGGCGTGGGGCAGAGAACAGAAAACAAATGGAAAGGAATCATCAAGGGCGAAAAGGGACAGGACTCGAATGGCCAAGCATTGGCCACGATGTCTCAGCCTCCGCACAGCACAGATTTGTAACGGTTCTGCTGGGACCTGTTCAAAAGCCCGTGGACAGCTGCATGTGGAAGGGTTGTCCTACTTTATTGGATTTTTTGGTAGCATGTATTTTTAGCCGTTAGACCAACATTTCTGTGCAATTTAGGTCTGAGAACCAGGGGTCCGGATTTGGGATCTACAGCAAAACAAGCCCAGCCCCACTTCCTCCCAGCGTGCTGTGGGGGAAGGGCCACGAGCGAGCACCACACAGGGCTGTCCTGCCTTCCTTGGGCAGGAGTTACACAGAGCAAGCACTTGTCTTGACCTCAGGAACTCTCAAAGTCTCTAAGAGATGAATGTGCAATATGACACTGCGAGAGGGAGGGATGAGAGGTGACATGTCACAAATATATTTAACCACTGAATGTTTCTGTGAGCATGTTTTTGGATGAGAGTTACATTTAAATCACAGACTTTGAGTAAAGTAGATAGCCCTCCTTAGTGTGTGTGCGGGGTGGGCCTCATTCAACCATTTGAGGGTCTGAATAAAACTAAGGGCTGACCTCCCGTGAGCAAGAGGGAATTCCGCAGGGGACAACCTTCACACTTCATCCCCACCATCGGCACTTCCTGGTTCACCAGCAGACAGCCTTTGGACTCGAACTGCACCTTTTCCTTCCGTCTCCAGCCTGCTGAACTTTCCCATCAGACTTTTGACTCACCAAGCCTCTACAATCACATGAGCTGTTTTCTTAAAGCAAATGTCTTTATATGTATTTATAGAAGCCACAGAAGAGGGATGTGGGGTCGTACACACACGTCCTATTGGTTCTGTTTCTCTGGGGAACTCTGACTAATACACTAAGTTAATGTAAATTTGGAAAACAGAACGAAGTCCATTTCCAGGTAGTCAACTTAATTGTTATTCATGGTAAAAGAGCAATAGGAACATACCTATATCTGATGTGCCATCCAAACGGATTTTGAGATAAAGGACAGTTAAAAACTCGGGCACTGAGATCAAATATGAAACATGTCAGAACAAAGCAGATCTTAAAAGCAAAAGCACCAACAGAAGAACTAAGGGGTCAAAACACCCAATGAAAAGACTCCTGGACCCTCTGTGAGGGCCTGTCTAAGGCCGGCCATGGAGACGGAGGCTCTCGGCTGACAGGCAGCAGAGCTTCGGCTCAGGGCCAGCTCGCGTGTTCATGCTCCAGAAGTAAAGCCACAGAACAAGGGATGTGGGGCCACGTGCTTCTGCACGATGAAGGGACAGCCAGAGAAGAACTGGAGGGATGGAACATGGAGCTGGGTCAGGGAAAGGCCCAAGGCAAGGTCCCGGGTCCTCTGCTGACCTTTCCTCCAGCGCGAGACAAGGTGCCAGGAGCACATCGTCCCTCCCTTCAAGGCAGAGGTCACCTCCTCCCCAAGCCTGCTACTTGGAACCTCTAGAGTTCTTCCAGCTTATTAGCAATTTCTCAGTATGTGAAACACCACGATTCTCCTTAACTGTGCTTCTGGGCTACCCAGTACCGGACACGTTGACTATATTTGTCTGATTTTAATACTATATGATCTCCTAAGAAGAATTTGGTATTTATAATAAAAACACAAGAACATACATTAAAAAGGAGTCAAAGACAAAGGTCAACAAACACAGGGGAAAGGGAAGATAATATTCTATTTTAAGAGAAAAGCAATAGAAAGAAGAGCAAAGTCTGAAATCCAACTCAACGAGCATTACTACAGACTTCTTTCCGAATCTCATTTCTTCCCCAGCCATCATGGAGGCCAAGAGGGCTGCTGTTTACTGCGGTGACCTTACTCAACTGCTCTGTGCCTCTGTTTCTCTATCTATAAAATAGAGATGATGGGAGGGAAAACAAAACTTTCCCAGGAATTAACACATCTTCAAATCATTGGCTATTTTTCTCCTTCCTAATCTAGTGAAAGTTTGTGAAAGAAAGTCTAGGGGAGAAAGGGAAAGCCAACAGTTACTGTGCAACTACTATATGTCAGCACTCTACAGGTTATCTCATTTAGTCACCATAAACGAGTGAGGAAACATTTTTATCCACATATGGACGAAATGGAGTCCTAGAGGGCCTAAGGCTTAGATCAGAGGCTACAAGTGGCCTACGACCTGCTCTCTTGTGAAGCATAGCGTGAGTGATGCTCCACAGAGCCAGACCCTTGGGTCAACCAGCCTTAGACTCACTCACGATGCTTATTGGAACTGAAGATTCCTGGACCCTCACCCAGACTGCTTGATTTCAATCTCTTGATGAGTCGTCAAGATGATAAGTCATCTCTGCCATGATTCCTCTGTGCATTCAAGAACCATTGGCTTATTGGTTGGGAGCATGGACTCTGAAGTCAGCCCCTGGCTTGGTTATATTCTAGATATGTGACCTCGGGCATATTACATAACCTCTCTCAGATTCTTTACTTTATCCAAAACATGGAGATAAGAGAACCTCATAAGGTTGCCACAGTGATTAAATAATGAATGTTTAGTGCCAAATTCAAAGTCTGGAACATAGTAATTATTATTATTTCCTTCACATGACATTAACTTTATTTCCTCTTTTCTAATTGTGCTATGAAAGAACAGAACAGTGTGCTCTAAAAGAGAATGACAGAGGGATATTTTCTTAAAGAACATCTGGGAAGGTCTGAGACCCGGGAAGGAGCCAAGTGTGGAAGAAGTCATGCCCACAGGAAGAGCAGCAGCATATGAGAAGACCCTGAAGTAGAAAAGAGCTCGTCACATTGAAGGAAGTGAAAGAACCTCCACGTGGCTGGACAAGAGGAAGGGTGGGTGAAATGAACTGGGAGAACAGGCGTGGGCTGAGCCACGTGGAGCCTGTGAACATGATGAAGGTTCAGACTGAACTCCAAGGGCAACCTGGGGCCATGGGAAGACTGAGCCAGAGGGTGATACTATCACTGTGGCTGAGATGGGAAGATGGAGAAGAGAAGTTGAGAGATCAGTTGGTTTGGGGAGCTTGGATTTGGGTGCTGAAAGTGCAGGTGGACACACAAGTAGAAGAATTTGAGATAAATTTTTGGTGGAGAATGGAGAGA